ATCCTTGGCCTCCGCTTTGCATCCACCTTGTCCTCCTCCTCCTCCTCCTCCTCCTCCTCCTCCTCCTCCTCCTCTTGAACCTCTCAATAAGACACATCAGCCCATTTGCAGCAGTGGCCTGCCAAAGAAGCTATCAGGCACCTGGAGTATTTTGATAAAACAGGAATGATGGCGATGTAGCTCTCCCTGTCCTTGTTCGTTTTTTTTTCCTTTCTTGTTTTTTTTTTTCTTTTTTTTTTTCCTATTTTTTTTTCCTTCCCCCCCCCTTCATATTTCCAAATCCGTTTTGCTGATGACAAATGGTACAAACTCTGTCATGCTGCAGGTCAGCTGGGCGATATCGGCAGATGTTGCATACACCGACCGACCGACCAACCGACCGACCGACATCAACGATTACAGCACCTGAGCTGATATCACCCAGGAGCAATCTGTGGACATTCAACAGACGGACGGAAATCAGCGACTGAGCTGGATCGACATTGGTTGCAGCAATGAGGCCGCAAGCCCGTACACAAGGTCTTTGGACCAGAACCACAAAAAAATAAATAAAAAAATAAAGAAAGAAAATGAAAAAAAAGAAACACGTGTGTACATACACCAGACAGGACAGTACGGCGACAGCAAAATTGCGGTTTATTTTTTCTTTTCTTTTGGGCAAGTGAATGATTGATTGATTGATTGATTTTACAATTTTAACAGTTCAGACAAACTTGAGTATTGCATCGTGAACAAGGGTTGTGCACGTTCCGCCCCTTGGGTACCCGATGCCAAAATAATGACAGGCTTGCGTGGATTAGGAGTATACCTCCTCCCCTCAGCTGCTTCAGCATGGCGTCAACCTTTCTTTCTCTCTCTCTCTTTCTTTCCTGCTTCCAGTGGGGCACAACGCCAACGATACCTTACCTTCGCGGCAAATAATGAGTTGCATAACTGATTGAATCTTCGACGGTTTGACATATATCTTACTCGAATGATGAAAACGAGTCTTTCATTCATACAACAGCTCGCTTGGTGTACAAGAATGGCTCGCTCGGCATGGAAAAACGGCCAAAATTTTGCTCCATCCAGACAAACAGAACGTATTGGCGACGGTCGCTCGACAAGTTCTCCTTATCTGCAATGCTTCACTGGTTACAAGAAGAAGAAGAAGAAGAAGAAGAAGACGAAGAAGAAGAAGAAGAAGAAGAAGACGAAGACGAAGAAGAAGAAGAAGAAGAAGAAGAAGAAGAAGACCATCTACTCGTTGATCGATACACAACCATAAGAACGGAACGGAACAGCAACGGGTCAGCAAGTTCTTCCATCACTCCACTGCGTCATTGATTACTTTGTGTCGAACATACAAGAAGAAGAAGGAGAAGAAGAGGACGACGAAGAAGGAAGAAGACCATCTACTCAGTGATCGACACAACCATCTCTACCCTGTGACCGACACCCAAGCCTGAATGTCGAATATACAAGAAGAAGAAGGAGAAGAAGAGGACGACGAAGAAGGAAGAAGACCATCTACTCGGTGATCGACACAACCATCTCTACCCTGTGACCGACACCCAATCCTGAATCGCCATCAACTCCCATCAAGATCGAGATTTTGCTGTGTCACATCGACAAGAAAACTCTGGCAATTACTGCAGAAGGCTGATGTGATTGGCAGTGTGTGGGAGATTTACTTCGTCATTTAGCTGCCGGCGCAATACAAGAATGCAAGAGGACGACTGCGCCACCTACTCTGACCGCCAAGAGTACTCCTATATTGACACCAACTCTCGTCAAGATCGCGGCGATGATGTGCCATGTCAACGAGAAGAGTATGGCCGTTAGGCTGCTGCAGGAGGCTGACTTCATTTACTGTCCGCATGTGACTGGGTCTCTTTCGCCACCAAGCTGGAAGTCGAGGAGAACTACCTTGCCCCCACGTGCGCCCCCCCCCCCCTCTCCTCTTTTTTTTTTTGCTGGTGGTTTCCGGCCTCCTCTGTTTTCTTCCTGAAAGCCGCAATCTTCTGCGCCCACAATAAGCAAAACACAAGCCAGACGCCACACGGGCTTTTCCGCAGTGAATTTGATGGAATTATTACAATTGAAAATTAAGGATCTTTATTGACCGATTTCATTTGCTGGCTTAGACTTTGACTTTTCGAACTCATGAGTTCCACCTTTTCTGAACTGTAGGTCCGAAATTCAAAGTTCAAAGCCTAATTTTACACCCAGAAGTCCCTTACCTCCTTCCCCCCCCCCCCCCCCCCCTCCCCCTTTCATTCGGAGGGGGGGGGGAAGTTAGTCCATGGTTACATCGTCATTCCTTAAGGCAATTGTTTGTTGGATTTTCTGCTCGAAATTCAAATCAGATTTAGAATTTTAGATTCAATTCGTGAGCCCACGTAGCTCAGGTGGTAGAGCATTCCCGGCGACCCTGAAAGTTTTACGGTAGTCCACCACCTCCCACCAAGAAGAAGGCAGGAGAGGCGCTGCTGTGCGTTGGTTTCGCGCTGGAAGGTGGATTGGGTTTTAAGCGGTAGAGCAAAACTTGCTAGCTTCAGGGTTCAAGTGTGCTCTTTTCTTTTGTGGGGGTGGGGGTGGTTTTGGAGGGGGGGGTGGGGGGGGGAGGGGAGCGGTAGCTAGTTTAGGCCTTTTGAGGTCAAGTGTGCAAGGGAGGGAAAGTTGGTCCAGGGTATAAAGTCAACTTCAGTGTGTGTTGGGTTCTTAGGTGGTGCCGGTGGTGGTGATGGGGGCCGGGGGGGGGCGGGGGGGGGGGGGAACGGGCGGCTGCAGGAGGGGGGGGAACGGGCGGGGGTGAGTTCACTGTTCCTTCTCTGCATTCAATTTTTGGCCATGAGCTCATTTTGCAATGCTCGTGATGTCGAGTTCGTGCATCAGGAAGTCTGCTTGACAAGGGCTTTTTTTTTTTTAATAAGGAAATTAAAGTATTACTTGAATTTACTTCACTGCATAATGATATGCATTGTAACAGCACATTCACTTGTCTGTTCATTTTTCAGCCAGTCTAGTGCAAAACAAGGTGTTTTTTAAAGTATTATTTCATTGCATAATCATACGCAATGTAGCAGCACCTTCGCTCGTCTGTTCATTCGTTTCCCTCACGCCTCAAATTTATTATCATTATTATTATTTTTTGAAGAGTTGTTCGGGACAGGTAATTCAAGGCATCCGTGCCACATTCGCTTGAGCTGTTTTAACTTTGTTGCATTTCTTACTAGTGTTAATTTTTCTCCCTGCGGTGAAACTTCGAAAGATTTCATTTCTTTGGGCTTCAAAACTGAATTTCCCCTTCGCGGCCGATCTATTCAGCAGTCCTACCAAGGTAGGACTGCCCACAACGCAGTGGGCTGCTACACGGAAGCTGAGTTTTCGGGGGAAAATCCATTCGCAGGGAGTCGTCATTTCACAGCACAGGCAGCACGTGTGCTCGATGCTGGGGGCACCCCAGCTTCTCTTCTTTCTTTCTTTTTTTCTTTTTTTCCCCCCAAGTTCTCTTTCTTTTCTTGTGACGCTACGGTGGGCCATTTCTTTTCTTTTTTTTTGGGCTTCGATTTATCACAACCTCGCACCTCTCAGCAGGAAAAACCTTCTCCCCCCCCTCCCCCCCCTGCCCTTGAAAATCCACTTTCCAGCAGGAAAAACTTCAAACTGGCAAACACTGGCAAGAACCCATAATAAAAAACTGGCAAAAACTACCACCGGGCTTATAGCTCAGTCTGTACACACCCATGAACTGTCGAATGCAGACGTGAGGAGGAAAACAAATAAATAAAAAAAATGCAGACATGAGTACGAAACCAGATGGAACCAGATGAATGGCATTCCTGAATTACCCAGGGCCGGTCACTTTCACAATGATATTCTCAAAAGGCTGTCGCCCTCTTTACAAAAAAAAAACAAAAAAAAAAAAGAGAAAAAAAAAAAACTGGCGAAACTGTTCCAATGAAACATTTATTAAATTTTATTTGTATATTGTCAATTTCTGATCGATTTTGACAATGCGATGTCCCATTCCTTTTTTTTTCTTCTTCTTCACGGTAACAGCTGCCCCCTAACTTGATTGCTTTCATCTGAGGGCGTACTCACACTAGCTCTATCTGGCGAGACAACAGTTACAGCCCGACCTGGAAGTACCTGACCGCAATTACGTGCAGAAATCAGAAATCAGTAAAAAAATCATAGGGCGAGTATGCCCGAATAATTCCGTCATTCAACTCATTTTCTGTTCACTAACAGTTACATATGTGTACTACCGTTGGAGATAGACAAGCAGGTAAGACTGCTATAGCTATTGATACTATATTGAATCAGAAGCAGATCAATGCAAAAGGTGCCTCTGAGAAAACGAAAAGCTGTATTGTGTGTATGTTGCAATTGGTCAGAAGCGTTCGACCGTAGCACAATTAGTGAAAATTCTTTCAGAAGCGGGTGCTTTAGAATGCTGAGTGATGGTGTCTATGATTCCTAAGGTATTCCTAGAGTGTATGCATACCTCTGTAAGTAATTTAGTACAACATGGGAAATTTGGGCCCTACAGGGCCTTTGTACTTGACCGGCCGCCGACCAAAAAAGAGAAGATAGTCATGTTTGACAATGATTTTTTAGCCATCTTTTCTTTCCAGAAATCTTTCTTATAAATGCCACTATCTTATTACTTACCTACGGCCATCTTTCCAGAATTTTTTCCTTTTTTTTTTCTCTAGGGCTCTGTTCTCAGCAAGTCCTTTTTTTTTTTTTTTTTTTTATAATCAACAAACTCTACCTTCTTTATATTCTGGGAGGGCACCAGTCCGGTTACTTATCCCCGGCAAGCATAAAAGAAACAAGGCAGAAGGAACATAGTGTCACAAGGTAACACCTCAGTGAATTTTTATTATAAAAGAAACAAGACAGAAGGAACACCTCAGTGAATTTATTCCGTGACAGTCACCGCGGAGTTTGCTTCTCATTTGAGGAGTTTAATAGTTTATTCAATTTTGTTCTATGACGACGATGATGATGAAGACCATGACTACTATGCTGATGGATGATGGATGATGACGATGACGATGAAACTTATTCGTCATCCTCAGCAATGCCATCCTTGTCACAATCCACGATGATGATCATAATAGTACGTTCTACACTGTAGAAAGCTAAATCACTCTACATGAGGCCTATAATGCATTGCTAAAAAATGCCTGTAATTATCTGGATTACCAAACAAATTGGAAGGATTTCACCACCTTCCTAGTCCGCCGTGATCACCGATCCCGGGACCTGTTGCTGTCGTTGTTGCCTGCGGTGAGGCCTCCCTGCCGGTCGTGGAGGCCTCCCGGCCCCCCCAAAAAATGAACTGGGTCCAGTAGGCCCGCCAGAATCTTGAAAAACTGGCGGCCTATCTGGGCCGTCGATCTGATGAGATCCGCGGCCCAGATAGGCCGCCAGTTTTTGAACATTCGGGCGGGAAACCACCTGAAGTTAAACTGGCCAGCGCCGGCCCCCGCAACCCCGTGTGAAGCCTTCCTCGTCAGTTCGACACTTCGTCGCAGTGACGAGTGCGGGAAACCACCCGACTTCCGACTGCGCCCCTCGTCATGTCGGGCACAGCAAGCCATCGCCTTCCCCCCCC